ATGTGGGACTTGATCCCAGGACTCCAGGATCATGACCCGAGCCGAAGGCAGTCGCTTAACCAACTGAGCCACCCAGGCGCCCCGTGGCTTTTTTCTTATGCCCCAGGATGTCCAGGGTTTGTGTGGGCTAAGGGCCTGGGGCTCACTGAAATGGCAGGCTGGCTAGGGTACCCAGAACTCTGCTACCATCTTTGCTCTCAAGGAGGGGAGCATAAACCATGGTGCTTACCAGCCCATCTGATCTGGAGAGAGTTCCACCAACTCCCCCAGTTTGGTGGATTTTTTTTATACTAGTTGCTCTTTTAAACTGGCTTTTTTCTTATGCCCCAGGGCAGACGAACCTGCTCCTGGTCCTTCAGTACTCTCTCTCTCTCCCCACGGCAGTTTGCATCAGGGATGGGGTTTTGTTACTGTGTCTCTGTCTCCCTTGTCATTCGCTATGTGGTCTATCTTTTGTTGTACAGAAGCTGTACAGTCAGCCCTCAGTTCTTCAGGAGGAATTGGCTTTATCTTTGAACTCTTTCACCAGGTACATTGCTTATCTCCATTTAGTTCTTTTTCTGATTTTGTGGGTGTTTTTGTTTTTGTTTTGGAGCATATCCCTCGGTCTCATTCTGCTTGACTTTCTCTGTTGCTATGAATTAAGTGAAACCACCACCTCTCTGAGTCTTGAAGGAGTGGCCCTGTATAGACTGCATGTTTGGTGGCTTTGGTTGGCTGGCTAGAGCTGGGGTTGGTGCAGGCCTGGGGTCCTTAAGCACTCTGTGCCAGGGCTACCCTGACCTGGAAGTTGGAGCTGGATTGGGTATGGCCAGGGGATCCCGGGGTGCTCTATACTGGGGCCACCCTAGCAGAATGGCTAGACCTAGGGCGGGTGTGGGCCGGGACTTTATCCACACTGGGGCTGCCCTGGTGAGGTGGCTAGAGCTGAAGCCAGTACTGGCTAGGGGCGTCCTGGCATGCTTCGCACCTGGGCCGCCTTGGCAAGATGGCTGACGTATAGTGGGCACAGCCCAGGGATGTCCTGATGTGTACCACACTGGGGCAGCTTTGGTGGGACAACTGGAGTTGGGGTGTGCTAGAGGCCCAAGGCTCCCTGAGGCAACAGGTTGGCTAGAGTGCCAGGACGCTGCTCCTGTCTACACTGGAGAGGGAACATGAACAGTGCTGCTCACCAGCACCTCTGATCCTGAAGACAGTTTCCAGCAGTTCCCCTACTGCTTGGCAGATGCTCTAGGGTTAATAACCTAATTCCTTCACTTACAGTCTAGCCGGTCTTTAAGAAGTCACTGTGTTTTTTGCTGTGCCCCTGGCTGGGCAAATCTGCACCTGAGTCCTTAAGTGCTACACTACAGTTTGCAGCACTGGGAGTAGGGCTCCCATCATTACTGTGTCTCCAACTTTTCTACCCTTGTCTGTGTGGCCCCTCTACTTCTGTGGTGCAGAAGCTGTAATCAGCCTTTAGTTCTTCAGAAAGAACTTCTGTATGTGCAGGTGGAGATTGTAGAATCCTGGGTCTTCCTATGCCACCCTCTTAGACACCTCCTCTCATGATCTGACTCTTGCAATTACAGACACGCTATACACATTTTGGTATTTATTAACAAAAATGGTCCAGAAAAGGACTGAGTAACAATTACAGCCATAAGGTTTAAAATAAGAGTTGTTTTTAGTTCTGTTGTCTCTAGGGTACTGTAACCAGTCTAGAAAGCTGTTTAATCTCCTAAAACAGGACTCAGATCACACCACTCAAGTGTTAGATATCAAAAGAAATTTTCCCTTTTGTCAAAGCAAAATAGAGTGGAGGTTTTTACCCACAAGCCTGCTTTCCAGGGGATGGACTGGGGAGCAGTGGAAGGAGTAGACAAAGAGGTTAAAAAAGAAACAGGCAAAATCTTGAAAGTAAGACATGAAAGCTAGTGAAGAAAAAGGGTTCCTAAGTGCCCAAGAATCATTCACTGAAGTAATCCTCTAGTCCTTCCATATCCATTTCCAGAGAGGAATTTAGACAGGCCAGAGCAGATGACGCATCCTTGGCTTTCTGGACACTTGGTTTGGGTTGAGCAGTTTCTGGTTGGATGGATTCCTTCCTGATGTCTTTATTACCACTTAGAATCCGTTGGCTCTCAAAAAAGAATTGATTAGGATGGCTCAAAGAAAAGCCACAATCATCCACCTGTATAAGAAAGCAAGTGTATATCATATTAATACATAACAAAGGTATAAATTAAGGGGCTTCAGAAACCATTCTAGACCTTCTTCAAAGACTATTTAAGGCATGCCTGGGTGGCTCAGTCGGTTAAGCGTCTGCCTTCGGCTCAGGTCATGATCCGGGGGTCCTGGGATCGAGTCCTGTGTCAGGCTCCCTGCTCAGCCAGGAGCCTACGTCTCCTTTTCCCTCTGCTACTCCCCCTGCTTATACTCTCTCTCTGTCTCTGTCAAATAAATAAATAATTTTTTTAAAAAAGTTTAAAAACTATTTAATGCCCAGCACATGGATCCTAGTAGTTCTCCGTCGTAACTCTCACATGATTTCATCCGGAAGGTGTGGATGAAATTTTTATTTCCAGCCTGAACCTCTGCACTTCGTTCCAGTTTCCTATCCAGCTCTACTTCATCTCTACCTTCTACTCAACATCTCAGAGGGCTAAGCAAAATGCCTGCCCGACTGTCTGTCAATAAGTACTTGTTTTAAAAGGGAAAAAAAAAAAAAAGGAGGGTGTAGTCTTTAACCATTCCAAAACCATAGGGACTGGATATAAACAGACACTGTCTGGATAATGGTCCCTGACACCACTCCGATTTTAGAGTATAAGTCTGGCATATGTAATACCATTTAGTATCATTTAAACACTGCACATTTAACGAGTACTACTTTTTTTTCCTAACTTGATTCCAAAATTTATTAATGGCGAAGAAAAATATATTCCTTAATATTAGCAAGCACTTATTGAACACCTACTCTGTGCCAGACATTATTCTAAGTGGCATAAGACACACGCCATACTCATTCACACACAGGTATATAAATACAGTTAACTTCCCATAAGAGCCCTGTGAAGGGAGATTATCAATATTCTGCCAGTTTAGAGAGAGGTTAAGTTAACTTGCCCAAGATCACATACTGGCAGGCCTGGAGATGGGATATGAATGAGCAGAATCCATGCTCATAACCAGTATGCTCTGCTGTCATGTCCTTGTGCCAACGTCAGTAATTTTATAATGCATTCACTTCTTAAAATGTGTAAGCCTTTACTAACTCTTGGGGTGTGACAGAAGAGCAAGATAGCTCCTGAAGTGTGAACCACCTACACCAGTCACTTTCTTCACATTCAACCAATGGGTCAGACTAAGTTGATCACCTGTCAAATCTCTGCGCTCCCTGCCTTCTGACAACAAAAAGAATTCCATTTTACTTGAGTTATTTGTGTTTTTGTTAGGGGATATTTCACTTCAAATTTTTTACAAACTGAGAAGGCATTACACTTTCTTTGTTTATCTGTCTTATATTTATCGACCTTTTAAGGTCTCACTCTTTGTACTGAAGTGACTTGGATATAGTAGGTATCTAAGTATCTGGTGAGTTGATCCCAGAACTAACCAGTGTATCCCAGTCATACATGTCCCATATGAACTGGAGACTTAACTGTGTATAAGGCCACATTACGAGCTAGTAATTTTTCAGCACACAAGAATGCATTTGACTAACTCTAAAGAAATTTCTAGCCTAGTAAGTCATATACTTTAAAAAAAAGTGATAAGGGTCACAGATAAAGGCTTATTATCTCCATATTAGAGAGAGATGCTGGCTGGGTTGATCAAGGAAGGCTTTGTGAGGAAGGGCTATATGAGTTGAATTTGGGAAGATGGAGAAAGTGAAAAGCTGGGATAATGAGGTCAAGGTTAATATAAGCAGCAGAACCACATGAGCAAGGTAATAAGGAATGTTCCTGTAAAGCAAGTAGATCAGATGGCCTGGTGTAAAAGGCATATAAAAGGGAATAATAGGAAATGAAGTTGGAAAGACAGGCTGGGGCCAGACCTCAGAGAGCCTTGAAAACAAGGGTAAGTAGTCTAGACCTAATTTTGTAGACATCAGGGAGTCACTAAAAATCCTTAAGAAGGGAGGTGATGTGATTAAAGCAATGTATAGTCTTATGGTAGATTAAAATGGATTAGCAGGGGGTTAAAAGAGTTGCTGTCATGGTTCAGAACTAACCCTCTTAACAGGTGAACCAATAAACAAACAAGGTGTTTTCTGGAAATACTTGAATACCCCAGGATTCTCTGATTCTCTTTAGTCAGTTTTTGATACATATTAGGCCAATAATTTTATAGTAACTTCAGTGTATAGCAGATTGATAGCATACAGACTAGTTCATTTTAAGAGTTATTACTCAGATCACTAAGAACAAATTTTTATCTGCTACTTTGCTGCTTAATTTTAAAATGTTTCCTGAATGTTTTATGATAAATCTATAACTTCTTTCAACAATGGAGTCATTTGTGAACTTTATTATATTGGATTTTTCACCCAATTCATTAAAAAGTAGGAGATCCAATATAAAGTTTGCATTTTACAAAATGTCTCATGAAAAGTGTATTGTGTAACACATTTCAATCAGAGGGCTTTATGTTTTATAAATAGAGAACATGAGAGATTTGAAAGACCTTGAAGATCCTTTAAGTTGGACCTCCTACATGTACAAACTAGGAAAATGAAGCCTAAGGAGATTACATGGTTTATGCAAAATCAAAGAACTAGTAACTGGTTTTGTCTGAATTAAGGCCTTCTGACTAGATCACTTAGTTGCTCTGAGATCTGTTTTAAGAGGTTTTATGTAAAGTCAAATAAACTTACAATCATATAATATTTCTGGAGCTAAACTTGGCTATAAAGATTATAAAAAAACATGGTATTATTTCATATAAAAAGAACCTAGCACTTTGTGCTGTAATAATTACACATTAGGCATTTTCTACACCTTGTTTCAACTTGTTAAAATTCTCAATATATCTGTTGTCACAGAAGAGGACTCTCTGGCTTGAAATGAATTATTAGACTTCAACTTGGACAAAATGAAATATGATCAACTTTCTAAGCCTCAGTTTCCTCGTCAATGAACTGGAGGTTATAGTAATAATAGCTGCTGCATCATAAGGTTGCCACAGGGAAAACCAAGGAAACAGGAGTGTAAAAAAAAAAGTTGTAGGTTCTATGAAATCTAAATTAATTCAAGAAAGGCAAGTCACTTAAAAAAGAAAAAGGTGTATTCCCAAAAAGAAAGGGAAAAAGAACATATTGTTTTATATGTGTCATTAGCTTCCTCTTCTGCTTTAAAGCAGCTCAAATTGGAAACTGGTGATGGTATATTATGGGTATAGTTTATTTAAAAAAAAGTTGAATTCTAATCCTAAAACTCTACTCAAGTACAAGATCTTGCTTGTACATCAAAAGATGAACAAATAAAAGACCTTGAAATGTTTTACCTTTAAAATGTATTGTTTAAAAAAATGTACATTTTTTAAAATTCCACTTTAATTAATGCTCTTATTAACCAACAGTGACAAGGGCCTTGAAATGAGGACATGTACCATGTTTCTATGTGATGTTTGGCTTTTCAGCTGTCTCTCTTAAGTCTGCAATTGCACTTTCTTAACTTATTTTGCTAATAAACTCATTTTACTGAACTTACAGTCTAATTAAGTGCTTGGTAGCATGATGAAATTATGAAGAGTTTCCTTCTATATACTGGATTGTATTTTCTTCTAAGAGAGGTTCTTTGTCTTTTGAATATTTTCTTCCTTTCACTTTTATATCTGGCTGAAGGAAGTTGCCATTCAGTTTCCTTTCATCTTGTTCAGAAAAATTAACTTTGGTTTATGCCCCTCCCCGCACTGCCCCCCTCAACCCTAACAAAATGAAAATAGATTTTACTTCAAAATCAAATTAGAAGAATAGGGAAAACAAGTTGTCCCCACTGAAATACCCCACTTTCACTTAGTTCTTATTCCTTATTTTTAAAAAAGATCCAAACATTCTAGATATGGGAACACTCAGAATTTTCTGTTTCCTTCCTTGCCGTTTTTCTTAATTGGTTGCTATTGGTGAGGTTTTCCTTTGTGTTCGATGATTTTTTATTATGTTTTGTACACTGTGTTCACTACCGAGAGAGGGAAATTTGTGATGCATTTTCATTCTGCTGTATTAGCTTAGAAGTCCTGAAGTACTGTAAAGGATATGAAATAAAACCAGTGTAGTTGGGAGTCCAGAAGAAGGAAATGGGGGTAGAGAGGCCTTTATAGGCTACATTGTAAGTTTTGGATTTCATCTTTAGAGCAGCTGGGAAGCCCTTTAAGATTTGGTTGTTGTTTTAAAGCAGTTTACTGAAATAATCATATTCCTCTGTTTTAAAGATCATTCTAGCAGCTGTGTGGAGGGTAAAGAACTGGAATGGTGCACATGTTGTAGATGCTGGGAAATGAGTTAGGAAGCTACTGCAATCCAAGTGAGACATGATCATGGCTTCTAGCCCAGCAGTCTGATATCCATAATAATGACCCTGAGTTATTATAAAAAAGCTGAACTGTATTTGCTATATCCTGTTTAAGATTGCAGGAAAATGGGCGCCTGTGTGGCTCAGTCGTTAAGCGTCTGCCTTCAGCTCAGGTTATGATCCTAGGGTCCTGGGATCGAGTCCCACATCGGGCTCCCTGCTCGGCGGGAAGCCTGCTTCTCCCACTCCCCCTGCTGTGTTCCCTCTCTCGCTGTCTCTCTCTCTGTCAAAAAATAAAATCTTAAAAAAAAAAAGATTGCAGGAAAATGTAGAATTTAGCAAGATTTCTGTAAAGATTTATATAGTGGGGGAAAAAATTATGCTCAGCTATTGGGAAAATAAGTATCAAGAATGACTCAGTGCCTAAAGAGGTCTATTTCTAAAGAAACAATTTTCAATTAAAATTCAGAGATGAATCTACACAAGGCCTAGTATTTTTATTTACACAGAGAGTATGCCAAAAGAAAAAACATACACTATAGTATAAACCATTGCTCCCTAAAAATACTGAGGAAAATGGATTTCAAGCAGGCCAGACTTTGGTACCTACTAACTGAATCTCAAACATTTGCTGGAATCAACATGTTTTCCACACAATGACCTTCACACAAACATAGGTCTCATATTTCTGCCACAGCAAATGTAGTTTGAAGGAATGGAAGCAATATTGTTTTACCTATGGGATGTTTGGGTTTTAATCAAGAGGTTTTGCAATGACAGCTTATAATGAGGCAGCTGGTATTACCAAAAAAGCCATATGGAACTATCATAGCGCTGCTGTCAATGGGATCAATTAACTGGTTCATTTTCAAAACTTTCATCAAAATGAGTTTGATCACAGAGTCCTCAGGAAAATAAACATAGCTTTAAAAATATTTTTTAAGGGGAGGCAGGCAGGATGGCAGAAAACACAATAAAAACGGATTCTATTTTGAAATTAAATGAGAAAAAATAATAGATATCTCATGAATTCAAACAGCCTTTTTATTCCATTGATTTTTATGTAGCTTAAGTTGTATGTGGGAGGATTTAGACATACGTCTTTTCAAAATCTTTATTAATCTAAGGCAAGTTTTAAAATTGGCCATAGTAGTAATACTCCTATAAGAATGAGATACTACAAAAGCAGATCTGAGAACTAAAAAAAAATTCTTCTTACTTTTTAGTTATTATGTCCCCAACTCAATCTAATTTTCACATCTTATTTAAAAACAAGGAAGGAGATTGAATAATAGACCTCAATTTGTGAAAGTTCTGAGGCCTCTTAATTAAAAGAAGGGTCCACACATAATTAAGAACATATATGAAATTAAACCTTTCAGGCTGAGCAAGCAAGCAAATTAAGGAATATGGTCTTTAAGGAAAAGAGTCATGCAAAACTGGTACTGAAAATACCAAACGAACAGGGCTTACCTGGTAAGATTCCTATACTCATAAAACTAATGAGAATTTGTGCTTGTCTCCTGTTTCATTGATGTCTATTTAGTCCTTCACATTTTGTGAAACCGAAGTGTTTATGTTTTGAAATAACAGTTAGGTGTATTAGAAAGAAGATGAGACCCACAGCAGACCAGGGGTGCTAGGTCCAGATCTCCCACTTACCAGCTGTGGTACCTCAGGCAAATCATACAGAATTGCTAGGCTTTGGATTTTTTTTTTTTTTTTTAAGATTTCATTTATTTATTTGACAGGGAGAGATATCACAAGTAGGCAGACAGGCAGGCAGGCAGAGGGAGCAGCAGACTCCCCGCTGAGCAGGGAGCCCGATGTGGGGCTCGATCCCAGGACGCTGGGATCATGACCTGAGCCGAAGGCAGACGCTTAATGACTGAGCCACCCAGGCGGCCTTTGGATTTTTTTTCTAATGTGAACTATGATGGCTGGACCATGAATCTAGACACAAAACGCTAGTGACCTCAAAAGTCATTATTACAAATACAGTACTGGATTCTATAGAAGTCACAGTCATGGTTAGGCTCATAAGCTTTTCTGAGTTACCTGACAGTCTGGTTCAACTCCAAGTCCATCCCTTATGAGCAGTACGACCTTACACAGGTTGCTCAGCTTCTCTAAACTTTATTCATAAATGGAAATAAAAATAGTATGTAAGCTGTAGTACTTTAGTGTGGATCAAAAGAGCTAATGTGGCCAAAGTACTTAGTGCTGGGCCAGGCATGTGTTAAAGGTTCTACAGATGTTGGCTGCTAGTACTATATTCATTATTGGTAATATTATAGGGTATATTTTTCCTATGAAATATTTTATAATGTAAGAAATTCTGCTATATAACCACAATAGAAAAATTATTTCATGAAAATTAGGAAAAGCAAAAGTGAATAGCATGATAGTGGACGGTGAATTCAATAAATGCAACATCTATTTGGGGAGGGTCATGGACGGATCCTTTTGAAACCCATTAACAGACTTCCAAAAAATGCACATATATACTCACAGAAAAAAATCTCAAGAAGTGCATGGACTTTCAGGTCTATTCTTAGATGTCTGTCCTAGGTTAGGAAGCCATGATCAGGACCAGTGGTTGCGAACAAGGAGGTCCATGGGCAGATGTGTTCTGCTGACTTGTACACGGTCTTCACACTTGTCAGTGTGAAGGCCCCTAACGGGACGTGAATTCATCAGCACACCATAGTTCCTCCCGTATTCTATTAATCGCAGCCACCTACGCTCTTTTGGGTTATCTGCCTGACTTCTGTAGGCTTCTGAGTTTGTGACCCTTGCTTTACACCTTTCAGAAGCTACGAGGAGGACTTATACAGGCATACCGTGTTCTATTGCATTTTCCAGATATTGTGTTTTTTACAAATTGAAGATCTGTGGCAACCCTGCAGTTGAGCAAGTCTATCAGCACCATTTTTCCAACAGCACTTGCTCATTTCATGTCTCTGTGTCACATTTTGGTAATTTGCCCAATTATTTCAAACTTTACGATTATTTTTGTTATGGTGACCTTTGATGTTACTATTGTAATTGTGCTGAGGCACCAGAAGCCATGCCCATACAAGGTGCCAAACCTAACTGATAAATGTCCTATGTGTTCTGACTCCTCCACTGACTGGCCATTCCCCCATCTCTCTCCCTTTCCTCTGATTTCCCTATTCCCCGAGATACAACAATACTGAAATCAGGCCAATTATTAACCCCAGAAGGGCCTCTCAGTGTTCAAGTGAAAGGAAAAGCTGCATCTGTCACTTTAAATCAAAGCTAGAAATGATTAAGCTTAGTGAGGAAGGCATGTTGAAAGCTGAGAGAGGCCAAAAGTTAGGCCTCTTGTGCCAAACAGCCAAGTTGTGAAGGCACAGGAAGAGTTCTTGAAGGAAATGAAAACTGCTATTCCAGAGAACACACGAATGAATGATAAGAAAGAAAAACAGCCTTACTGCTGATGTGAGAAAGTTTTCCTGGTCTGGACAGACAATCACACCAGCCACAACATTCCCTGAAGCCAAAGCTAATCCAGAGCAAAGCCCTAACTTTTCAACTCTGTGAAGGCTGAGACAGGTGAGGAAGCTACAGAAAAACAGTTTGAAGCTAGCAGAGGTTGGTTCAGTTTAAGGAAAGAAGCCGTCTCCATAACATTGGAAGTACAAGGTGAAGCAGCAGGTGCTGATGTAGAAGCTGCGGCAGTTTACCCAGAAGCTCTAGCTAAGAGAATTCCTGAAGGTGCTACACTAAACAGCAGATTTTCAGGGTGGATGAAACAGCCTTATATTTGAAGAAGATGCCATGGAGGACTTTCATAGCTAGAGAGGAGAAGTCAGTGCCAGGCTTCAAAGCTTCCATGGACAGGCCGACTCTCTTGTTAGGGGCTAATGCGGCTGGTGGCTCTAAGTCGAAGCCAATGGTCTCTTATCATTTTGAAAATCCTAGGAATAATCCTTGAGAATTATGCTAAATCTGCTTTGCCTGTGCTCTATAAATGGAACAACAAAACTTGGGTTTTTGCACATCTGTTTATGACATGGTTGACTGCATGTTCTAAGCCCACTACTGACACCTACTGCTCAGAAAAAAAAAATCCTTTCAAAATATTACTGCTCACCGGGGGCACCTGGCTGGCTCAGTTGGTAGAGCATGCGACTCTTGATCTAGGGGTCATGAGTTCAAGCCCCATGCTGGGCATAGATTACACTGACACTGTACCTGCCTACCCAAGAGCTCGGAGACGTACAAGTTTAATGTTATTTTCATCTCTGCTAACACAACATCCATTCTGCAGCCCATGGTTCAAGGAGTCATTTTGACTTTCAGGTTTTATTATTTAAGGAACACATTTTGTAAGGCTACAGCTGCCATACACAATGATTCCTCTGATGGATCTGAGCAAAGTAAATTAAAAACCTTCTGGAGGGGCTCCTGGGTGGCTCAGTTAGTTAAGCATCTGCCTTCGGCTCAGGCGATGACCCCAGGTCCTGGGATGGAGCCCCACGACAGGCTCCCTGATCAGCGCGAACATGCTTCTCTCTCTTCCTCTGCCCCCTCCCCCTGTTTATGCACACACTCTCTCTCAAATAAATAAATCTTAAAAAAATAAAAAACCCTTCTGGAAAGGATTCATCATTCTAGATCCCATTAAGAACATCCATGATTCATGAGAAGGGGGTCAAAATACCAACAAATAGGAGTTTGGGAGAAGATTATTCCAACCCTCACTGATGACCTTAAGGGGTTCAAGATGTCAGTGGAGGAAGTAAATGCAGATGGAGAAACAGCAAGAGAACTAGAACTAGAAGTGGAGCCTAAAGATGTGCCTGAGTTGCTGCAATCTCGCGATAAAACTTGAACAGATGAGGAGTTACTTCTTATGGATGAGCACAGAAAGAGGTTTCTTGAGATGGAATGTACTCTTGGTGAAGATGCTGTGAAGACTGTTGAAATGACAACAAAGGATTTAAACTTAGGACATAAACTTAGTTGAGGAAGCAGTGGAAGGGTTTGAGAAGACTCCAATTTTGAAAGAACTTCTGCTGTGGGTACAAGGCTATCAAACAGCATCGCATGCTACAGAGAAATCACGCATGAAAGGAAGCGTCAGCTGATGTGGCAAACATCTTCTTTTTCAAAACTGCCGCCACCCAATCTTCAGCAACTACCACCCTGACCAGTCAGCAGGCATCAACATGGAGGGAGGACCCTCCACCAGCAAAACGAATGACTTGCTGAAAGCTCACATGATGGTTAGCATTTTTTAGCAAATTTGTTAGCAAACTGCTCTGTCAGACGAGCAGTTCTGACAGAGACCATATGGACAATAAAGTCTACAATTTTTACAATCTGGCACTTTGCTGAGAAAGCTGACTGACCCTTGGTCTCATCCCTAGATGTGAAGTGGTGGGTGGAGGCTGCAGTAGGTTTTCCCACTGAGTAGCTTCTCCTAGTTACAATGTTTCTGGTTCTGGAGCATCCTAGTTTTAATTCTCTGGCCCTTCCATAAATTTTATAAGCTACCTAATACCATGTAATAAATCCCTTGCTGGTGAAAATAGCCGGAGTGGTTTCTACTGCTGCAACTAAAATCCCTGAATGAACCATGCAGTAACAAAAAAAACCCCAAAGAATTAGGCCATAAAGTTTAAAAATGGACTTACGTTATGTATCATCTCGAAGTACTTCTGACAGGCCACTTGGTAATGCGTCCCTTTTACTAAATCCAAGATCTAAAATGCATGGGAAAAAGAGAAAGCAAAATTAGAAACAAAGTTTCTCTAAACCACTGCAGCTTGCGGTTGTGGGCCTTTTCAATCTTTATTCCAGACAAGAAATGCATTAAATCATGGGGTATGTTGTACTTCTGCAGCCTGGACACTGTGATAATTCTGACATTATACAGTCGCTCTTTAGGTCAGCATTAAACCACAGATGACAAGAGATAGTCAGTGATCTTTCTGACCTACCAACTGTGAATTTCAATAACTTTACCTTGACAACAAGATGAAAATAGATCCCAGTTTTATGACTTTGACAGTTATTGTCAGATCATATTGCAACATCTCTTCCAAAATTATAAATTTAGTAATCTAAATGGTGCATAAAGCAATCAAGTATACTATTTAGATTTTTATTTTCCACATTACCAGTTTATACAGATGCAGCCTAAAATACAGCTGTGTACCCATCAGGAAAATTTAATGTAAAGCCCTTTGGACGAGTATCTTTGGAGAGGGAATGCTTTTACCTTCAATCAGATTTGTTTTTTTTTTTTGAAATGAAGTTATTTCTAGTAAAGCTCAGCAGAATATGAGAGTGAATATGAATAGTCTATTCTGAACACCTATTAGGAACATCATCCTATCTTTTGTAAACACAATTTTCTTTCCAATTCGACTTCATGTAATCTCTTTGGAGCAGGACAAACTCCCATTCTTATCAGCCAAGTGCAATGCCAGTTGAAATTCGTAAAGTTTCATCACTCCCCTACCCCAGCAAATAAATAAAATGTATATTTGGTCTGTTTATCAAACACAGTAAAATGCAGGAATTAAGAGCCTAAAATGAAGGGAAACAGAATTCTGGAGAAATGCTCATTTCTATCCCTTTTCAAAGGGCTGACCTTCCTGTGACAACAAGAAATGTACATGAAGCCTCAAATTCCTGCTATCCCCATTACTGAATATAGTTGACATCTTTTGACAGATACACAAAATTATTACAGTTATGGAGTGGGCATCATACAATCCTGACAAGAATGTGCTTAAAAGAACTGAACTGTTTTTCTCTGTCTTATAAGATTACTTTTATTAAATCCTATATGAATGACCTACGTAAATGCCAACCAATCACAGCACCCAGGATCCTGCCTATTTGACCTGTTCATTTTTCTTGAATTATTAGAGCAGAAATGGAAAATATATCAATTTAAAATGAATGGCTATCAAACTGTGGAAAGAGCCGAGATGCCCTTCAACAGATGAATGGATAAAGAAGATGTGGTCCATATATACAATGAATATTACTCAGCCATCAGAAAAGATGAATACCCAACTTTTACATCAACATGGATGGGACTGGAGGAGATTATGCTAAGTGAAATAAGTCAAGCAGAGAGAGTCAATTATCTTATGGTTTCACTTATTTGTGGAACATAAGGAATAACATGGAGGACATTAAGAGAAGGAAGGGAAAAATGGGTGGGGGGAATTGGAGGGAGAGATGAACCATGAGAGACTATGGACCTGAGAAACAAACAGGGTTTTAGAGGGGAGGGGGGAGGGGGGATTGGTTAGCCCGGTGATGGGTATTAAGGAGGGCACGTACTGCATGGAGCACTGGGTGTTATACGAAAACAATGGATCGTGGATCACTACATCAAAAACTAATGAGGTATTGTATGGTGACTAACATAACATAATAAAATTTAAAAAAAAATTAAAAAAATAAAATGAATGGCTATAAATTTTTTAAAATGAAGAAAGCCACAAAGTTTTCAAAGTAATTCTACACACAGATATTCAAATTGTGTTGAGATGAACTTGCAACTGATTATTGGCAAACATCAATGATACCATGAAGGAATATGTGTGAATTGCAATTTTGGAGAAGCAAAGTCTTCAAACTTTAGTGAAGTTTAAATGACACCATAAATGACCTGAAGAGAAAATGAACTCACAGAAATAAACCCAACATCACATTCTATGCATATACATACTTGAGAGATACATATTTAAATATATATGAACTTACACATATATTTAAATATGTTCCTTGCAAAGTAAATATGTAACATTAAATATATACATTATAATATACATGTTTGGGAAGCATGCTATGAAGTCAATACTTATAAGAAACATTTAAAAAATATCTAGTTGGGGGCAACTGGCTGGCTCAGTCAGTAGAGTGTGCAACTCTTGATCTCAGGGTGGTGAGTTCAAGCCCCACGCTGGGCATGGAGCCTACTTAAAATAAATAAATAAAAATTTAAAAATAAAAATATCTAGTTGGGTGACATACACATATGTAAAAAGTTACTAAGGAAAACTGACATATAAGCCACAGAATGTAAGAAAAGCTTACGTATTTTGAAATTTTAGGTTCCATCAAAAGTAAATTTAGATTAATCACAGATCAATTCCCCCTGCTCCACTCCAAGAGAAGGCTCTTCCTTAACCAAAATCATTGGATTTTCCTCTTCCTATTTGCTTTATCTTTCTAGGATGTTTTTATTTGGAAATTTCTTGCAAATCCATAAATAAATCAACCATCATCTATCCTTAAATAACTTTATTGATCATGTTACAGCACACTTGAGGTAAATGAAAGTTTCTGCACATACGTAATGGTATATGAGGGAAAAAAGACAACAGAGTGCTTTTCATTGGCTGGAAAAGCTACTCAAAGACAGACACATTTAGGTCTAAGGAGAGGATCCAGGGAAGGAAGAAGTAATCCAAGTAATAGAGATGTGGGGACAATAAATGAATAGGAAAAATCCAGGGAAAAGACTGCTCTGAGGTGATTAGGTATTACTGGGAGGTATTATCCTCATTTCAGAGATGAAGAAATATATCCTCCTAAATAGGGGTGTGTATCTAGTGAGTGCCACTTATTGTGAGAAGAATTTAAAAATCCTATGCAATTTGTGATTTTGTTTTCCTTAAGAGGAATGTGTAGACCATAACTCAAAAATCCAATAACTAATAAACATATGTACTTGAATTTCACATTATGATCTAAATCATAGAGATATAGGAAGAGAAAAAAGAGAAGAAAGAGAAGGATCTTGTGGACCAATGAACGAAGTCTGGCTTTTTCTCTGAGTAAAATGGGGAGCTACTGCAATATTCTTAGCACAGGAGTGACATGACCTAACATTGTTAACAGGATTATTCTGCCCGCTATATGCTGGGAACAAACTAGAGGGAGTAGGGATCCAAACAGGGAGCTCTTTACAAGTATCCAGGAAACAGATGATGCTGGCTTAGGTAAGAGTAGTGGTTAGAAGTGGTCGCATTCCCCACTTATTGGCTGTAACTGTTTTTGAAAAACAGCTGTTCTACACAAAAATGCTTAACAGGAACCTATTCCCTGATGTTTTAGAGTAAGCCATTACCTGTCACTCAACCCCTCCCCTCTCTGATTTCCTAAATAAAACTAAGTAGCTTAAAAGCTCAGTAAAATTCAATATGTAAATAACAACCCATCATTTAAAATAAAGGTAGAATGCCAATAATACCACTTAATAGTCATTAAACAGTATAAGTAACAAACAGATGCTTCTTATGCAATAGCCTGTGAGTAGGACACCTGAAGTCTCTCAGTGTCAGCAACACCTTAGATGCACACCCCCTCTGCGGACTTCAAAATATTCGGCAAGTGATTCTGACGTTCTACCATTTATACATGAAGTGCAACTTGGGACTTTTTCTGCACCTAGTTTTCTCACGTTCTTCTGATATCAACCTCACCAGCAAATGCCCTACTAAGATAGTCTATAGGTATGTTGAGGATGGTGCTGGTATCATTTGTCAATGGGCTGGATGACTCCAAGCAGGAAAATACAAAGCTAAAAATCAAGAGAAAAGAGAATTGAGCTATCTGCAAAGCACCAAAATTTGTGAAATAGAGGAAAAATAGAAACTTGGCAAAGAAACACCAAAATCCAAGAAGGACAGATGCCTGAGGTAGACTGTGGAAAAGAATTAGAGGTCAGGAGCTAAGTTCTCACAGTATGTCCTACAAATCCTCGAAAAGACTCTCTGCTTTTCTGAAGGTGGACCACTTGTGTGTTAATGGACAGACGCTGAAAATGCTCCCCGCTAAGTCACTACAGCTGGACAGAGACAGGTAAGCAGTGATTGTTCATACGCAAGATGACTCTGTTATTGAGCCATTCTTATTCTTTGAAATTCAGGTTCTTAGCAACGGTTGGGTTCATTTAGAATTTAAATTTTGTGTGTAGTCATAACTCAAGTAATCTTTTTTTAGAAAGTGCTAAGTTTTAACAGAAGAGCACATGTCCCAGGCTAGTGGACATATATGCTTGACTTGTAGCCAAACAACTGGGAACCTGAGAAAGATTTAGGATTTAACCAAAAGTGGTATGCTTTTCTTTGAAACCAAAATTTTTCTTTGATGTTTTCAAGAATGAAGAAATATTGGCTGTGGTAATAATTTATGTGTCAAATTTTGAACTTACCTACCTAACCTTGCTCTTGTTTGTTTGTTAAAAATATGCTTTGGGGAGGGGGAGGTCATGGGGAGTTAGTTCATATGTGCTTGTTTATTTTTTGTGTTGGAATCATAATTTAATATAACATTAACAAATTTTTAAAGATTTTATTTATTTAGACAGAGAAGAGAAAGAAAAGGGGGGTGGGGAAGAGAGCTGGGGGAGGAGCAGAGGGAAAGGGACAAGCAGACTCCACATTGAGCACAGAGCCCAAAGCAGGGCTGGATCCCACAACCCTGAGATCATGACCTGAGCCAAAATCAAGAGTTTGATGCTCAACTGACTGAGCCACCCAGATGCCCCGACATTAAAATTTTTTAAAGAAAATAAAATTCTGTAGAGAAGTCAGAATGAAGATGTACTTAGGCAACAGTACTTTCTGACAGCATTCATTTTGCCAGATAGCTTCTGAAGGGTCAAGCCTCCATCCTCCTAAATTGGCCTTTGCTCTTCCTAAAGGGATGGCTCCACAAGGCTGGAAGCAGGCAG